TGAAGCACTTTGAGTTGGTCTTATTTATACTCATCATGTCTCTTTTGCTCAGAAGACTTCCCCAGGCAAATTGCCAAGGTCATGTTATAGTGTTGAACATAAACCACATTTCCGTCCTAGTAGAGTGATGGGAACGGGCATGGGACTGGGACAGCGCACTGCAGGTGAACAGCCCCATTCAAACAGTCGGGAGAGAGGGGACAAACCCCAGCACAGATCAGCATCCAAGTACAACAATACTCACATACCCGTTACTTCCTATTTTACCACACAATCCAGTTTCCAAAATATAAAGACCTTAAGCCCATTGTCTCTGGTCTTCACAATTATCCCACTTGTCTTCTAATCTTGGATGAAAATTACTCTAGAGATTTCTGGAACATGACAAACATAAGGTAACAGGGAGCAAGAGAGCCAGTAAACATCCAAACGAAGGGGAAGATCCACGACTCAGGGAACAATCAAGTCTTTCTTTTATATTGAGACTTCATTGTCCTTGCTATGATCCCTAGATGACCTGACACTCCATCAGAAACCAGCCCAGGACTCTGCACTGTACAGAACCAGTCTCAGTAGCCCTGCAGGCCCCTATCTTAAGACACTGGCTTAATGAAGCCATAATCCATGCACTTGATGAGACACTCCCGGGCTGTCTGAACCACTTCTGCCTTCTTCTCATCTGGCTCCTGTTTGCCCACCACGGTCAGGATCTCCAGCAGCTCACTCTCCACCAGCTTCTTGGCCAGCTCAGCATCAGCCGCCAGCAGGTTGTAGGCAATGACCAGGCCCCGGTGCTGGACTGACAGCTGGTCGTGCAGGCAAAGCCGCTGTAGGATCTCCAACCACTGGGATGTCTGGAGAAGGGGGAAAGGGCAAGGAAGATTCTAAGTTGGAGTATGTCTTCCAGAATTCATGTGTTGGAAATTTGGCCCTGATGTGGCAGTGTTGGGAGGTGAGGCTTTTAGGAGGTTGTTAGGTTGTTACGAGGAATTAATGTTGCTGTCATGGGGCTGGGTTAATTCCTGTAGTGGTGAGTAAGTCCTTGCTCTTGCGGGACTGGGTCAGTTATCGCAAGAGCCCCTCATGGCCCCACATGCTGCCTTTCAAGTTTTGCCCCTGTCACACACACCACCCACTTCCCCTTCCAGTTCTCTACCATGTTATGCCACAGCATCAGGCCGGCACAGAAGCTGACCAGACATAGCTGCCCAGTTGTGTGCTTCCCAGTCTCTAGAGCAATGGTTCTCAACCTCCCTAATGCCATGACCCTTTAATACAGTTCCTCATGTTGTGGTGACCCCCAACTATAAAATTATTTTCGTAGCTACTGTTATGAATCATAATGTAAATATCTGATGTGCAGGAGACCCCCAAAGGGGTCGCAACCCACAGATTGAGAACCGCTGCTCTAGAACCATGCATGACCCAATCTAAATCTCTTTTTTTATATAAATTACCCAGTCTGATATTCTGTTACAGCAACAGAAAACAGACCAAAAGAGAAGGATTAGCAGAATCAGTTGGGAAATAGAGGAGATTTGGAGACAAGATAAACAAAAGCCATTGGCCAGGCCCACGGCTAAGTAATTTAGCTATGGGCACACATCTGGAAATAGGATTAACACCCTGCCACACCCACTTATTTTTTAAGCAGCTTGAGAAGCCAAGGGGCAGATCCACTGCATGCCTGAGCAATGGAGATGCAAAAGGAGAATTCTCACCCTGGGCACGTGGGAAACACAAGCTTCTGTCAACCCAGATGCCCTTTGGGACATGAGTGCCAGGCATGCAAGACGTGCTGTCTACCATCCCTGACTTTAATTGGAATCAACACAAGAGTCTGGGGTATAGGCTCGGCACCTGTAGCTCAGTGGTTAGGGTGCCACCTGCTGGAGCTGGCGAGTTTGAACACTGCCCAGGCCTGCTAAACGACAACAGCAACCAAAAAATAGCCAGGCATTGTGGTGGGCACCTGTAGTCCCAGCTACGTGGGAGGCTAAGGCAAGAGAATGACTTAAGCCCAAGAGTTGAAGTTGCTGTGAGCTGTGATGCCACAGCACTCTACCTAGGATGACATAGTGATGCTCTGTCTCAAAAAAAAAAAAAAAAGAGTCTGGAGTATATTCTCTCCTCCATTCCCAGTTGTAAAGCAAAAGAACTGCTGTGCACAGGAGGCAGGATTGTAGACTACTCCGATCACCTCAGGAGATGGAAATGAAGCTGAGGATAGAACCAGGAGGCTTGGCTCCTATGTCATTCAACACACAAAATCAAGGCAGCAGGAAAGAATAGTCATTGGCATGGAGTTTGGAGTCAGAGAGACCCATGTTCAGGTCTCAGCTCAGCCACTCACCAGGTGTATAACCTCAGCTAAGTTATTGGATCCCTCTAAGCTCAGGAGCCTCATCTGTCATCTGCTGTCCCTACCACTAACATTGTAAGGATTTAATGGATGATACATGAAAGGAGTTTTGCGTAAGGGCTGGAGCGTAGACGTGCTCAGCAGGTGGAAGTGGACAGGGGTGACAATTTAAGACACCATCACAAAGATTTTCCCCGTTGTGCTCCTTCGTACCTGTTACCCTCCCCTGACATCTGTCAGAAAGGATCCTATTAACATGCACTGCTTTCAGATGGCAGGCAGACACAGACAGAAATTAAGGGCAAATTCTCGGCTTCTGAGTGTCTAAGCAGACTTTTGCAAACTCTGCACTGAGTCTCCTTCCCCAAGGAAAGGAAATCAAGTTCAGCCAGCTGTGCTGATGGCCAACTGGTAATGGGCCCAGGCTCATCACTCCCTAGGTCACTGGAGGCCCAAGAGCAAGGAGGGAAGCTCAGTAGGGGCAGGACCGCAGGGCAGGAGGAACTGCTGCTGCCCGGGGCATAACCAGCTGATGGGAGACTGCTGTGTCCAACATCCAGCATGGCCACAGGATCACACAAAAAATGGGCTGGGCAACTTCACAGACTCCCCAGGATGCCCATGTCAGGACAAAAATGCAGCCAAGATTTCTGAGCTCCCCCAGGAGAAACAAAGAAATGACCAAGAGTGGTCAGCAGTCTGAAAGGACTCTAATTCCTTCCCAACTAACTGGCTGTACAGCCTTGGGCCAGTTACTTTTCCGCATTTCAGTTTCCTCATCTGTAAAGCAGGGATGATAACAATAATATCCCCCTCACAGGGTGGTCAGGAGGATTAAATGATTTGATATACGCAAACATTTAGGGCTATGTTGGCCTTCAGTAAATGCAGGGAGTCATAGAGCATCCTGCAAGGACTTGACGACAGGAGCTAGTTGGCCAGTTACTCCAGTAGAGGCTGCTCTAGGGCAGAGTTTCAGAGTATGGTCTCCAGGCCAGAAGCATCTATCCGCAAGCTACTGAATCCAAATATCTGGGGAAACTGTTTTAACAAGCTCCCAGGAGATTCTCCTATGTGTTCTAGTTGTAAGAAGACTTAGGGAAAGAGGCTGAAACCTAAAGACCATGCAGGATGAGCTACATCCAGGAGAAACACCCTCTCCTGGTGCCAGGACGACAGAAGCCCTCTTGGAACTTAGAGCACATACCCACCCATGTGCCTGCACCCTAAGTTGGCTACCGAAGAGGGCCTGCCTTTAAACCAGGTGTGAGCACATTTGAATTGAGATGTCTACATCTTTCTCCATCAGGGGAGATCAAGGGCCCATGAACTAAGTTCAGTGTGGTGAAATAGGACAGATTCATTTTGCACTCCCATGTTTGCGACTGTGTACATATCATTCCCATTACACCAGCTGGGATGGTCCCCGTCCCGCCATAGGAGCTGGCTTTCACACCCACTGAAGAGAATCTGCAGCCTCTTTTCCAAACCATGAGCTCCCTGGGGTATCCCAACCACTTTCACGTTTCTCTTGAGAAGCCCAGGAGCTCTGCAGCAGTAGTTGTTATCAGTATTGCTGAATAAGAAGATGCATGTGCCACCAAAG